CCCCCCCCCCCCCCCCCCCCCCCCCCCCGCACTGCCGTGTCACAGAGCACAGGGTTCTTCCTGAAAGGCTGCCGGCCTGCTTGGCTCGGCCTCCTCTGGAATCCATCTCTCAGAGAAGAGCTGTCAGTGCTCAGCTACAGCAGGCCAACAAAAAGCACAAAGAAACAAAAAGCCAAGAGGGATACCGAGAGGCGTCAAACTGCTGCTCCTTCCAGCCTGGGGTAGATGCTCAACCGAGAGGGCTGTCAGCAAGCTCAGGCACCCCTCCTTCCACCAAGGGGACGAGGGGCCAGCCTGAGGTCACAAGGCACATCAGCAGTAGACATTGGGCGGGCCGCTTTTGTCTTTGCACTATTTGTATCCAAGTACTTTCGCTTTTAATACCCGGCCTGTTGCTCTTTCACTGCTGACGTGCTTGCATGCAAATCTGGATGTGCGCCCCTGGCTGTGCTTTTCAGAGATCTGTGTGAGTCTGAATTTACTGCACAGGCAAGGGAGAGGGCACAGGGCCACTCAAGGGTGGCAGGTGAAGGCCACTGCCGAGGGCCCTCGTCTTCCCGGCTGCTGGGTTTCAGGAACTGCACAGCAGGACCTGCCTTCTACTGGTTGTCCTCTTTGCAACCAAGGACACCCGCTCCCAGGGGTTTGGGGGAAATCACCACTCTAAGTCTGTCCTGTGTCTTCACAAAGGCATATCTGAGTTAAAATCTTATTTCAGAAGATTTTAGAAGCTGTACCATCCTTCCTCCGCCCCACCCCCCGAAATGCCCATCCGTCCGGCAAGGCATCTCTGCATGGGCATGGGCATGGGCAAAGCCTTTGCTCTCTGCCCTGCTCACACAACCCTCCTTCCTAAGTCATCGCAACACTGACAGTCCGCTTGGCAGCAGACTGATGGGACGACACCCACACAACCCAGGACCCGCTGTGCCACCTGCAGTGCTACTACCCTGGGGACACAGGCCAGTGAGCCCAAGCACAAACAGTAAACCTACTGTCATAGGAGACACCTTCAGGGAAAAGTGGTCTCAGGTGAATACAAAAATATAAGCACACTTTGTAAATCTTCATTACTCCTCATCTATCTCCAAACTTCACCCCACCATTCTCTTTTGGCCAGGGGAATCAGCAGAGGCAAACATGAGGGGAAGAGGCCCAGGGGATGGCAAAGCTGGATGATAAGCACATGCAAAGGGGGCAGGTACAGGAAGAGGGACAGTGAGCCTCTGCTGGAGCAAAAGGACACTTAGCAGTGTGTCCAACACTCCCAATTTCCAACTGCCCCCACCAATTTCTGACAGGAAAGACAATGTGCTAGGGGTGAAGGAAGCCCCTGGAGCTGGGGCTCTTGCCTGTGGATCACCTGCTGAGGCTTGTCCTTAAAGGACAGCAGTGTGGTGAGCAGGGAGCAAGGAAGGTGGGGGCCTGAAGTTCAGGAAATGATGTGGCCAAATACAAGGGAACGAGGACTGGGAGATTGCCAGGTCAATTTCTGATGTCTTGTTAAGGCCATGGGCCATCTGTTAAATTGGGGATACCTTAAAAGAATTTGTAGAGTTTTCTCTACTTCCATAGAAGATAAAACGAGGAAATAGGTTGAAAAAGCAACCAGATACTTTTACTCAGACACAAGATACAGTAAAAATGGAGCTCAGGAGCATGTCCCCAAAGCCTTTAATATAGAACCAGGACGGGGTGCTCAGAGCCCCGCTGCAGGCCTGAGCCCAGACCTGGATGGCCAGTGTGGTCCGCTTCCAGCTGGAGCCACCCCGTTGCCAGGTGGGTAGGGTGGAGGCTCTGGGGACCAGACCAGACCAGCATGATGAAAACTGGGGGACGGGGGAGGGAGGAAGGAATGTGGCCACCTGACCAGAGACATAGGCATAGGAAGCAGTTAGTCCCACGGCCGACAAGAGGTTTTCTTGCAGGTTAAATACATCTCCCAAGATTCTTGCAAAGGCCAAGCCACCCAGGAACCACTGGGAGCTGAGTGCTGCATATCTGCTGACCGTGTTCCTCCCCCGGAAGGCCCCGGTGTCCGAGATTGCACCTCTCATGTTCCCCAGGGTGGGCTGCTTAACTCCCCTGGCCCCTAACTCAGAAGTCCTGATTGACCTCCCCCCGTGTGAGAAATTTCCAGGCTCTGCTACCCTCTTCTGCTCCAAGGCACCTCACTTTCTGGGACTGCCCCCAGAGAAAGGGCTGAAGAATGTGTGACGTCCCTTACCTTCACTCCGTCTTGACCATCTCCCCCACTCAACATCCAAAATCTAAGTGTCACAGCTAAAACATGAGGCTGGATGTTACCAGACCAAGGTAATAAGAGCTAACACTCTGGCACTTAAAGTGGTGCCGGGCACAGCTCTAAACCCTTACATATATCAATGCATTGAATTCTTCCAACCACCTACTGAGGCGGGTGCGTGGTGTCTGGTTTGCAAATGAGAAGGCAGAAACGTGTGGGCAAAGCTTTACAGTTTAAACCCTTGCTTGACCTGTGCAAGATGAGCATGACGGCCCAATGACAAGGGTGAAGGATGCCTCCCCACATGGATGTGGAGGGAGCAGCAGGAGAGGAACACACACAGGCTCCATGTAAAATTCCAGGCACCACAAACTACACACTGTACACTACCTTTTGTATAAGACATGGGGAATCTGAATACATATATGCGCTTGTATCTGCAAAAAGAAATGTTGGAAGGATAAACCAAAATCGGGGATAAACTGTTATCCCCAGAGCTATCAGGGTTTGGGCTGAAAATGAGATTTCACACCTTGTTATATGGTTTTCACATTGGAAGCATGTACTTTTTTTTTATCAAATTGAACATAAAACTAAACCAAACGAAAAAGAACAATTCCTAAAACTTCAAAATAAACTGAAATGTATGAGCTATCAAGTTAGTATCAGAATCACATAGGGAAAAAGAACCCTTGTGAGTGATCATTTTGAAAAACAAAAAAGCAAACAAAACAAAAAACTGCATGTCCTTAGTAGAAGGGACACACTTTAAGGACTAACAGAGCTGCAAAGAAATCTTAAACTTCATTCCATATTTTGTTATTATTTGTTACCAGTATTAGTGGTAATATTAGTCTGTTCATTTCAAAAGTACTTTGTTTTATGTTTTTAAGTTTATTTACTTTTTTTTTAGTAATCTCTACAGCCATCGTGGGGCTCGAACTCATAACCTCGAGATCAAGAGTTGCATGCTCCTCTGAGTCAGCCAGGCACCCCCCAAAAGTACTTTAGAGTAGAGCAAGTAATTATGCTAATGATATTAGAAGCCAAGATATTCACATTAAGAGAAAAGATACATGTTTAAAATGAAAGTAAAACCTGTAAGGTTAAATTGGAATGGGAGATATCAGTGTAAAATTATGGGGTTTTTGAGGCTGTTGCTTGTTATGACCAAAACGTATTACTTCTTAGCTCTGTTCACAAAAAGGTGCAGAAGCCATTAGCACCAGTGTCCACACCGCATGCTCTAAATACCATTTCACCCTCAAAAAGGAACCAGGGCTCCACAGAGGAACGGCCCATTCAGGGACCAAGACTCAAGTAAGCTGCAAAAGACGAAAGGAGTCGTGATAAGGGGTCCTAAGAGGGACAGAGGGTGCTTGGGGGCTGCCCCTGGGTGAGGAAGGGACCATGGAAGCATCACAATGAACCACTGCAACGGACTGAAACGCACAAGATGCAGAATTCCCAGCTCATAATACTCACAGGAAGAGAATCCACCCTCACTCCCATCCCCAAGCCCTACTGATCGCCCCCTGGGGGTAACCAAGGGTAGCAAGTCCAAGGCTACAAAGGGACAATGGACAGGAAAGCATTCCTGGTCATCCAGAAGAGGCTGTGTTTCAAGCAACCATGGAGTCTTGGTTGATGAAAGAAAACCCTTCTTTGCAGAAAAATTCCTTGCATAAATGTGTAAGGGAAGCCAGAATTACGGACAATTACCATTTTGTGACACCCAATTAAATGGTGGAATCATCAGATGACAAGTGGATGGGGAACTTTTTAGGAGAAGAGTCAGGCTGTCACTCTCTGAACTCCCGGCCAACTGTGGTCTCATGGGGAAATATGAACACAGGGCACCACCTCAGACATATTCTTGCTCACGACACCACTGCAACCCTGGGCTCTCCCCATCTAACACCCAGTTCACAAGAAATAAGGGGCAAAAAGGAGGGAGTCAGGCAACAGGGGACACCGTTGGGAGAAATGTGCATGCCAAAGACTCTGCCACTTAGGACTCACAGGGAAGTGAGGAACCTGGCAGAGAAAGCTCCATATCATCCTTAGAGAATACATGTATATCATCAAAACCAGAATGTTGGTAGAAAGATGAATGTTACAGGTATTTCTGGGGAGGGCTCAGAGAAAATGAGGCACATGTCATTGGAAACTGAAGCAGAGAGAATCCTTGTTATCTAGTAGCAGAAGTTTGGCTGAATTGTATCCGAGTTGTGTGGAAGGCAGAATTTGAACTTGTAAGCAATGAATTTGGAGATTTGGCTGAGTAGACTTCCAAGCAAAATGTTGAAGGTCTGGCCTGGCTTCTTGTTGCTCAGAGTAAAATGTGAGAGGAGCCAGAGAAACTGAGGGAAGAACCATTAAGCAAAAAGGAACCTAGACTTGATGGGTTTGGGAAACTCTTAGGCTATCCAAATTGAAAACAAACAAACAAAAAAACAAGCTAAACTGGGGAGATTCACTGTTATGAAGGTGCACTCCTGGAGAAAAGGCCACGCTGTGGATGGACACAAATTTTGCTAGTGCCAAAGAGAGTGGACACGGAATTCGCGAATCCCCTCAACTGTGAATCATCTCACAGAAGCCAAGGGCAGGGATGAAATCATACAGGAAAGATCGGTGGAGAAGCCCCTTGTCTAATGGCATGAATCCTGTCACATACATGGGAGACCCATGAAGGCATGTGAGTCTTACACCAGCAGAAACACTGACAGTTTGGCCTGAAAAGGAGAGAGACTGGATAAAATCAAAGAAGGGTGTCAGATTCCCAAAATTCTACAGGCAGGAAACAGGCTGATAAAATGACCCAGCTGCAAACATGTGCTACTCTTCAAGAAAAGGAAAGATGACCACAAGGGCAGAGCTTCAGGCCAAGAGGCCAAAGCCATGAGCCCAGAGACTGGAGCCTCCAAAGTCCGGTAATTAGTTACAGCAGCTATAGGAAACTAATACACTGTCCCTATAGATTTGCCTATTCTGGGCATTTTATACAAATGCAATCATGTTGCATAATATGGACCACTATGTAATGTTTATTACACTTAGCATGATGTCTTCAAGATTCATCCGTGTTATAGCATGTATCAGTATTTCATTTCTTTATATGGCCAGATCACACTCCATTGTATGGATATACCCCCTTTTGTTTATCCATTCATTAGCTGATAAACATTTGGGTTATTTCCACTTTTTGGCTTTTATGAATGATGCTACGAATATCTATGTACAAGGTTTTGTGGACATTTGGTAACTATTTAATTTTTTGAGGAATCACCACACTGTTTTCCACAGTGACTGCACCATTTTACATTCCTTCCAGCAACGCAGAAGGTTCCAAGGTCTCCAGCCGTCATGAGTATGAAGTGTGTCTCATTGTGATTTTGATTTGCATTTCCCTAATGACTAGTGATGTTGAGCAGCTTTTCATGTACTTCTTGGCCATAGTATGTCTTCTTTGGAGATATGTCTGTTAGAGTCCTTTACCCTTTTTTTCTTTTTTTTGAATTGGGTTTTTTGTTGTTATTGTTGAGCTGCAGATTCTTTACATACTCTGGATACCAGTCCCTTATCAGATAAACAATCTGCAAATATTTTCTCCCGTTCCATGGGCTGTCTTTTCACTCTCTTGATGGTGTCCTTTGATGCACAAGAGTTTTTAATAGTTTTTTTTTTTTTTAAGATTTTACTTATTTATTTGACAGAGAGAGAGACAGCGAGAGAGGGAACACAAGCAGGGGCTGTGGGAGAGGGAGAAGCAGGCTTCCTGTGGAGCAGGGAGCCTGATGTGGGGCTGGATCCCAGGACCTGGGACCATGACCTGAGCCAAAGGCAGACGCTTAACGACTGAGCCACCCAGGCGCCCCTTTTTAATAGTTTTTAATTTTGATGAGTCAAACTAAGGTTTTCATTTGTTGCTTGTGCTTTTGGTGTCACATGTCAGAAACTGTTGCCTAATCCAAGGTCACAAAGATTTATGCCTACATTTTCTTCTAAGAGCTTTATAGTTTTAGCTCTTAAATGTATGCCTTTGATCCATTCTGAGTTAATTTTTGTATATGGTGTGAAGATGGGATCCAACCTCAATATATATAAAATATATATATTTATATATTGTCCCAGCACCATTTGTCAAAAAGACTATTTTTCCCCACTGAAATCTTTTAGTACCTATGTCAAAAAAAATCTATTAACTGTAAACACAAAGGCTTATTTGTAGATTTTCAATTCTACCCCATTGATTTGTATGTTCATCCTTATGCTAGTATGACACGGTTTTGATTACTGTAGCTTTGTAGTACATTTAAAAATTCACAAATAGGAGTCTTCCAAGTATTTTCTTTTCCGAGATTGTTTTGAGTATTCTGCGTCCCTTGAATTTCCTTAGGATCAGTTTGTCAGTTTCTACAAAGTCTGTTTGAAAGTTTTCCTCATATATTGAAAAATGTATCAAATCCCAGAGCAGGTACTCCAGAGCCAGTGTTCTTGGTAACAGGAGGCCTTTGATAAATATCGCATTGGGAGTCATATATTTTAACATTTTTATATATTCTAAAATATTTTAGACATACAAAAAATGAATAATAAAACAAATGCCAGTGGTCTCCTTACCCAGCTTACATTTAAAACTAAGACAGAGGGGCGACTGTCTGGCTCAGTCGGTAGAGCATGCAACTCCTGATCTCAGGATCACGAGTTCAAGCCACATGCTGGGCATGCAGCTTATTTAAAATTAAAACAACAACCACCACCACCACCACCATCCCAAACCAAAAATAAATAAAAATAACAAAAACAAAAAAACCCCCAGAAAATAAAGCAAGTAAACAAGCAAGCTAGCTCCCCATGCTACCAGTGACTTGCCCTACATCTCTTTCTTCACAGGTAAACAGGAGAAAATGTCACAAGGGCTAGACAAAGTGTGTACTTCTCTCAGCCTCAACACATGCTACAGCAAACACAGCTGGTGAAAACCAAATCAGAACTGACAGTGAAGCTTCTGAAAAAGTATGTTTACTAAGGATGGTGCAGGAGTCCCGACTCTCACACATTTAGACAGAACGGAGGGAAGGAGCACTGCCTACTGGACCTTCCTCATGAACCAGCTACACTCAGCTAGGCTTTCCTGGCAGATCTCAGCAATTGTTAAGAAAATGCTTGTCTTGAGGCGCCCGGCTACCTCAGTTGGTGGAGCATGTGACTCTTGTTCTCGGGGTTGTAAGTTCAGGCCCCATGTTGGGCATAGAGCTTACTTTAAAAGAAAAAAAGAAAAGGCCAGTCTTTTCATGTGTTCACATTTTTCAGTCCACACAGTTGTGCTTTTCTCAGCTCTAAGATGCAGTGCTTCTAATGCCTGAATTCTTGAGTGGTCCAATAGCTGCTCTTGATTAAATAGGGAGAGCAGAAGGTATACTCAGATTCAGTCAAAGCCAGACTCCAGGCTTGTAAGGTCCCTTAAAAAGGCTGAAGGTAGGAAAACACCTCCTTTTTAAAAAAAAGATTTTATTCATTTGAGAGAGAAAGATAGCGAGAGCAGGAACACAAGTACGGCGAATGGGAGAGGGAGAAGCAGGCTTCTCGCCGAGCAGGGAGCCCGACGCGGGGCTTGATGCCAGGACCCTGGGATCATGACCTGAGCCGAAGGCAGACGCTTAACGACTGAGCCACCCAGGCGCCCCTGAAAAACACCTCCTTCTATCAGATGTTACGCAGACATCCTCCTCTTCCCTTGCTGAGAGCACGGCTGCACCTGATCCTATTTACCAGGCTGTTTTTGTCCCTATTTATTCCAGGTGGCTGACTGTTAAGCTCAGGCCCTCCTCTTTGACTGATCCTAAGGTAGCTTCCCACTCCTGATGCTCACAGCCTCCCTCGTCCCGTTTTCACTCTGGCTTCCCAGTGGGGGTTTAGTTCTGTACTAGTCCTTTCTACACTGTAAACCAGAAACGTACGCTACTTTTGCATAACACTATATTAAATGTAAAAGAGTAGATGAGTCTTTAACTTACAGGCTTAATGTAAAAACAACCAAGTAATAAGCAAATGTTTGGAAATGCACCCAGCTTTAGTAAGCATCACTACACACTGCCACTGTAGGCACCGACACAGAGCTCCCGGGACCCCTGACTGTACTCTCATCCAGTGGATGCCCAATCTTCCCGAACCTTCAGAGGCTGGTTCAAGTGTTTGGAGTTGTCACTCTCACAACCACCCACCATCCCCAGGCACAATTACTTTTGCTTTCTTCAGCCTCCTTTAGGCAGAGAGTAGTCCCATCTGTAGGAATTAAAGGTGTTAAGGAATTAAAGTGGCTGTTTGGGTATCTTTTACTTTGACAGACGGGAGGCAGTAAAAGAAGTGGTTAAGAGTGTGGTGACACTAGACCATCTGGGTTCCATTCCCGGCTCTACCTCCACACAGATCTGTGACCTCCTGGGTAAGTTCCCTAGCATCTGTATGCCAGAGCCTCCTCTGAAACTGGGGACAGTGGTACTGTATTTGTTTCATAGAGCTGATGTGGGATCACATGAGCTCACACATGAAGCATACAAAACTAGGCAGCCTGAGGTATCCATTAGCACCCCAGTTTCCTTCGGGGTAGACACCCCCTGACCTGCCAGCTTGCCAGGATTCCCCGGGAAGGTTAGCCCCTTCTCTGTGGCCTCTTACACCTCCCAGCCCCTCCTAGAATCCAGAAAGAGAGAAATTACTCTTCCCTGTCCTTCTCCCCTGCTCTAGGGTCCCACTTTTTCGATTCTTTCACAGTTGTTCTTTTTTTTTTTTAAAAGATTTTATTTATTTGACAGAGAGAGACACAGCGAGAGAGGGAACACAAGCTTGGAGAGTGAGAGTGGGAGAAGCAGGCTTCCTGCTGAGCAGGGAGCCCGATGTGGGGCTCGATCCCAGGACCCTGGGATCATGACCTGAGCAGAAGGCAGACGCTTAATGACTGAGCCACCCAGGCGCCCCTCTTTCACAGTTGTTCTGATGGGAGTCTCAGATGGGAAGGGCAGGCAACAAGAGTGCCCGGGCTGCCATCCAACCAGTTCTCACAGAAGGGCCTCACTGCACTGGCACCCAGCTCTACGAGGACCCTAAGCAGTAGTAAAAAGCTAGGCCTCAGACAACGGTGCCCAAGCAGAATGTCTGTCTCTGTAAAACAAACAGGAAATTTCCAACAACTTGTTAAAAATACTTCTCTTCCAAATAGTTGGGGCCTCTCCTCTTCGGAGTTAGGGATTTAGAACCAGCTTGATGAAAGGAAATGGGACTGCAGCCAGGAAGGTTCAGAGTGTGGGCTATGGTGAGGCAGAGGCTGAGAGGGTGAGGGGGCTGTCGTGCTGCTCGATGCCCTCTTTGGGATGGAAGGCACCCCAGATGATAGAAGAGTATCTGTGATAGCCAATCTCCAAGAGGGCCACCAACAACCACTACCCTCCCTGTACAAACAGGCCACTGCTCACATAAAAGACAGAGGTGAGGGGCGCCTGGCTGGCTCAATTGGTGAAGTATGTGACTCTTGATCTCAGGGTAGGGGGTTTGAGCCCCGCGTTGCGTGTAGGGATTGCTTAAAAATAAAATCTTAAGGGGGCGCCTGGGTGGCTCAGTCGGTTAAGCGACTGCCTTCGGCTCGGGTCATGATCCTGGAGTCCCGGGATTGAGTCCCGCATCGGACTCCCTGCTCAGCGGGGAGCCTGCTTCTCCCTCTGACCCTCCCCCCTCTCATGTACTCTCTCTCTCTCTCTCTCTCTCATTCTCACTCTCTCAAAATAAATAAATAAATCTTAAAAAAAAAATCTTAAAAAAACAAGGAGGCAATTCCCACTGCTCTTAGGACCTGCTGTATCAGAGTGATGTTCTAGGACTTCTGAGGACTGGAAGCTTCCATTTCCTCCTCCGAAGCCAGCTGCCATGTAGTAAGGAAGTGCAGGCTGTACCGCTGGAGACACCACGTGGAGGCCACGTTGGGAAAACAGATGTGCAGATACAGGAGGGAAGTCTTTATGGACCTTCCAGGTCAGCATAGCCACCTGCTGGATATATAGCTGCATGAGAGCTGACACGGGAGACCAGCAGAATGGCCAGCCGGACAACTCCAACTGCCCCGACTGCTAACCCACAGAATCAGGAGAAATAATTTATTGCTTTAGGTCATTACGTTTTAGGGTAGTTCCTTATCAAACAATCGATAACAATACGGAACCAACAAGTTCTGCATTTCAAAAGCTGAAGTAGTTCAATAAGCCCTCATCAAAGTTCTTTTAATTCTGAGAAAATACAAACTAACAAAACCAGTAATAACATCCCATCCCCCCAAATATTTGCAAATTTGACATTCAATAAGAGGTTTTTACCCAAAACACATTAAAAACTCTTACAATTAGGGCGCCTGGGTGGCTCAGTCGGTTAAGCGACTGCCTTCGGCTCAGGTCATGATCCTGGAGTCTGGGGATCGAGTCCCGCATCGGGCTCCCTGCTCGGCGAGGAGTCTGCTTCTCCCTCTGACCCTCCCTCCCTCTCATGTGCTCTCTCTCTCTCATTCTCTCTCTCAAATAAATAAATTAAAAAAACCTTTAAAAAAAAAAAAAACTCTTACAATTAAAAAACCCCAAGAACTCAATTTTAGAATGGGCAAAGGATCTGAATAAACATTTCTCCAAAGAAAATATACAAATGACCAACAAGTACATAAAGATACTCAATATCATTAGTCACCAGGGAAATGCAAATCAAAACCGTTAACTTCTGTGAAATGCTACTTCACACTCGTTATGATGGCTATAATAAAAAAGACAAACAATAACAAGTGTTGATAAGGACGTGGACAAATTGGAAGCTCATACCCTGCCGGCGGGGATGTAAAATGATACAGCTGCTTTCAAAAGCAGTGTGGCAGTGTTACGGTACCGTATGATTCAGCTATTCCACTCCTAGGTATCTACCCAAGAGAAATGAAAATGTTAGGTCCACAGGAAAGCTTCTACACACACTTTTGGTTTTGTTTTTCTTTTCTTAATATTTTATTTTTATGTAATCTCTATGCCCAACGTGGGGCTCAAACTCACAACCCCGAGATCAAGAGTCGCACACTCCACTGATTGAGCCGGCCAGGTGCCCCTTGTACACAGATGTTCACAGCAGCATTGTTGATAGCCAAAAAGTGGAAGCAATCCAAACAACCATCAACTGATAAACAGATAAATAAAATGCAGCATATCCATACAACAGAATATTATTCAGCAGTAAAATGGAATAAACTACATGCAACAAAATGGTCCGTGGATGAAACTTGAAAATATTACCCTAAGTGAAAGCCAGTCACAAAAACATTTACTGTACGATTGCATTCATATGAAAAGTTCAGAAAAGGCAAATCCATAGCAACAGAAAACAGGAAGTGGTGGCCTAGGGCTGGGAAAATGGGGAGTGCCAGCCAACAGGTGTGAAGTCTCTTTCAGAAAATGTCCTAAAATTCAGATTGTTGTGATGGTTGTACCACTCTGTGAATATCCTTACAACCACTGAATTATACACTTTAAATGGGTGAATTGTGCAGTATATGAAATAGATCTCAATAAAGTTATTAAAACAAAGGAAAATGTTTATTATGTATATCCAGAGTGCAGACACCCCTGCGCCTCAGTGCTCAGAGTTCTTCCTTACACTTCCATGTGGTCACAAACACACACCTGTGTGCTCTAACCTCTAAGACCAGATCATGCAGGTGGTTTCTCTTCTGGAAACTGCTTTCTCCAGCTGGTGACCTCTACTTTCCGTTTTGAAAAACGTTCACCTGATCTAAATACTCAGACCATGTCTAAATTTCCTGAATTGACCTCTATATGTCTTGACAGCTGGTTTATGCAAACCAGTTTCCCATCAAGGGCCATAAGTAAGATCTGCTTTTAATTCTTGACACATAAGGATGTCCTAGAACTCCCAACATCACACTCAGGCACAAAGTGCTCAGAGCAGACCCAGTGCAGCCGAGGGTCTGCACGGTCAGGATGTGCGAGGGAAGCAGGGTGGGTGCAGTGCAGAAGAAAAGCCCCAGGCATCAGCTCCTCCTTGCGCAAGCTGGGTAACCCTACACAAGCTGCTGGCTTCCTTGTGCCTGTTCTGCTTCATTTCTACTAAAACAGCTCTGCCCTAGGGAGAACACTCCAATGAAAGGATGAAAGGAGGTGGTCACGTGAAGCCCATGGCACCTGGCCCAGGATGAGAGCTCATACCGCGGAAAGCCTTCCCAACTACTCCACCTGTGACATTCCTAGGCTCAAGGCCTCAACCTCCACAAGCACTGCCTCTAGCACTTAACAAAAGAGGACAGGAATGCTTTTGGGCCCACGTGTCAGGGCCCTGTGGGGCTTTAGTGAGGATCCCATGGGGAGCATTCTTATTTGGAGGAGCAGCTGGGACCTCTGTGAGCACCCGACAAGATTCCTGGGAGCTGCTCATGAATGGAGGGGGTTTGCAACAGGGTTGTGGTCAATGCTGGGCCTGCATCCTGCATGCTCCCCCAGTACCCTACCTATAACTGTACCATGGACACATGGGAAGACCCACAGCATGCTGCAGGTAAAGCTGACGGTGCCCATGGTCAATCAGAGAGTGGCCACCCCGCCCCCACTCCGCAGGCAGAGAGCTTCCAGAGTCTGCCTTGTACCCTCCCCTTCCTGAGCCTCTGAGCTTTCTGCCCAGGGCTCCACCCACCAGGGCCTTACCCGGGTCTTGGCCTTCAGGAACACATGGCTCTCCATATCCTTGCTGGATTTACTATGGGCCACACCAGCTTTTCTCATGGCATCCTCACTGTAACACAGAAGAAAAAGAGATGTTCACACATACCTGTTAAGTCTGCTCCCATAGGGTTCCTGGCCAGCAGGCCCTGCTCAACAGCTGCCCCTGGGTGGAAGAGGCGCTGTCCCCAGGCATAATAGCCTGGCTAAGGTCCAGGAGAGGCATACAAGGAGGGACTCTCAGCAGAGTGATAAAAGGCAAGCTGAGCAAGGTAAGGGGGAAGAGCCATGAGAAGAAAGAAACAGGAAAGGTAGACAAAGGTAGACAAAGCAAAGCAGCTACCCCGGCAAGAAGGATGTGAGGAGCCAGGCCCTAGGAGCTGCTCACAACCACACAAAATCAGGTGTATGCAGATGGCCGAGGGGCCAGCACCCTCCATTTCCTACCCTCTGAG